ATAGGTATTACAACGAGAAGGTGATTTATGAGGACATTTTCAGTGTCCCAGTAATTCAAAAGGCTTATAAATAATTCAGAATGAGTTTTTTTGAAAATCTAAAAATGCAGAAAGTCTCCTGTGAGGGGTAGGTTTAGGGGTAGGGTTGGTGTAGGGCAATAGAATATACGGTCTGTACAGTATAAAAACCATTACACCTATGGAGAGTCCCCATAAACCATAAAACCAAACATGTGTGTGTGTGTGTGAGTAAGAGATTTCTGTTTTTATGAACATGTTCATATTTCCGCTGCGAGCGCTGTCAGACTCGACAGAAACATGAAGAGTGAACCTCGTGCAGTGCACTGCGAGACAAGTGTACTAGTGCTGGTCATTATATCAGGAGGAAAAGAATCAACATCAAAGTATGACATAAAACACTGTTTTTACTATTTGTTACTAGGAATAATATTCTGTTATTAAGTCTTTCTGCCTAAATATCTGTATGATTTCACTAGTGATGGAAGTAGTTTGTTTTTAGACAGGGTCTGTGTGGATTTATTGAGCAGCAGTAATGAGAGAGAAATCACTGAGCTTACAGTAAACTACAGCTAACTCACACCAGAGCTGATGGTGAGCCCCTGCTGGACCACAAGAGACCACAACAGACCAGCGCTGCCCTCTGCTGCTCAAACCAGACAGCACACACGAGACCAGCTCCGGTTCAGACCCGATCGATCTCAGATCAGCAGCCGTCAGCGATCAATAAGACACCGAATCCATCAAAACTAACAGGAATATAAACCAAGTCTAACGATAGTTTCATTTTAAAAGTGAAAAGACTTCAGAAAAACAGACTTCAACTCATTTGCTGTGATATAATTTCAGTCTCACAACACAAATAACTAGAGGACTGTCAAATGATCCATTCAGAGTCCAGCACAGTTCAGCTGCAGACTCTCACCCGAGCTGAGAAAGAGCATCAACATGTTTAATACATGACTACAGCTTACATGTTATTAATAGCTCAATTACTCGTCTGGTGTATGTGACACACAGATGTTTATCCGTCATATTCCTGGGCGATCTTGGCCATGGTGCTCGGCTGGATGTTGCTGGTTCCTGCAGAAACGGTTCAGTCTGTCAAACTCGCTTCTGATGAGAGCTGCTTCACTCACCGGTCTTACAGTCTCTGCAGTTCTTCTCGATGGGTTAGTCTGGTGAAGCGCACGCCGCCTGAAACACGCACTGATCTCAGAACAGCATCGCAGCTCCTTTCTGCCACAGAATAATACAAATAAAAAAGGTGACTTTGTGACTCTTTATCTCACAATTCAGACTTTTTTTTGTACAAATCTGAACTGAGAGATATAAACTCAGAATTCTGAGGGAAAAAGTAAAAACATTTTAAAATAATTTTCCGTATCACAGTTTTCAGATGAGGTGTGAGTGCTGGACTGACCTCCGCGCACACACACACACACACACACACACACACACACACTCACTCTCTCTCTCACACACACACTCTCACACACACACACACACACACACACTCACTCTCTCTCTCACACACACACTCTCACACACACACACACACACACACACTCACTCTCTCTCTCACACACACACACACACACACTCTCTCTCTCACACACACACACACGTGACCTCAACGAGACCGAATACAACACACACACACACGTTCTGTTCTGCATTAATAAATCATAAATTGCTCATGCATAAATGAATCCGTGCATTTGTGGATCAGGCAACACGCATGCATCACACACACACACACACACACACACACACACTCTCTCTCTCACACACACACACACGTGACCTCAACGAGACCGAATACAACACACACACACACGTTCTGTTCTGCATTAATAAATCATAAATTGCTCATGCAAAAATGAATCCGTGCATTTGTGGATCAGGCAACACGCATGCATTAATTCACGTCTCTTCTGAATCGATTCAGATCACACTGACAGCGCTCTTTCTTTTCTGAAATGTGTTTCTCACAAATTGGAAGAAAACACATCGAAGTCAATGGAGTGGTGCAGAAGTGTATTTAATAATACTGACTCGCTGAAGCCTCTTGGAGCAAAAATATTAATATTCTAATTATTTATTGTTTGAATGCACGTTTAGCTTCAAACTACATTTTTTAATTTTTATATACAGTATTTCATATACTTTTTTATTTATGCTAACATAAGTGTTTTAAAATAGTCGTTAAAAATATACAAATATTACACGCAGTCAAATGAACCAGCAAACTCATGTTACTAATAATTCAATGTCAATTTAATAATGATCAGTCTATCAGCGATGATGAATGTGACTGTCATACATTAGTATTGTCAATAACCTCGATATTTAGAAACCTTGTTGACAAATGATGGATTTCTGCCATTCATTAATAATGTTAATTTAATATATAGAACTGCAATCTCCATCTTTGTAAAGAAAAACAAACAATATTACAAACTGTTAATGAATCTCCAAATGAAAACCAGTCAGTCGTTGGACAGATGCATTTGCAGAAATTATATTAAAAAATAACATCTTATGCACAATCACAAGTCCATCAGAAATTTATTATCAGGAATCAGGAATCAGTCACGTTTCACGTGTTTGGACACAATCTCGTGTGAGTGTCGCTGGAACGCCGCAGACACGTCCATCAGCAGCTTCTCCATATCGACGGGCTCCTCTGGGAAAACTGAGACGCGATGAAGAACGTCCTTCTTCAGCTCCTGCAGGAACACAGTCTTCAGCTCGTTCAGTGCTTTAGCCAGAGCCTTCAGCACGTCTGGAGACGCCTGGCCTTCTGTGACGAGACCAAGCACAACAGTGGCTCACACCAGCATAAATCAGTGCAAACGTGACATGAACAGGAGAAACTCAAAGCGCCATCTGATCTCTGTACCGCGAGCTGATGTCAGCGCCTGAGAAACCAGTCGTCTGCACGTCTGATCAGCCTGGTGAAGAACGCTGGACGCACAAATCCGTCGGTCAGCCTCCTAAAACAAGATCAGTGAGAGGACGATTGGATCACATTTCTCTCCCGCTCCATTGGAACGCGTGTCTTAATGTGACAAGAGCTTTTACAAAACCGACCCAAAGCATAAAAGTGAACTGAAATTGCTGTGTGATCGCAGCAGTGTCTGAATCATTCACTGTGTTTAATGGTGACTGTTTGAGCATGAATGTGTAAGTGCAGCAAAGCTGTGGTCAGATGTTACGATGAATCTCATTTATGTGAATAAAGCCTGACCTTCTGCTGCGACTCGTCCTGGACGGGGCTCAATGGGTTTTCCAGCGCAGACGCCAGCAAGTCCTTCAGCTTCTGTCTTCAAGAGAAAGAAAGAGGGATGATTTTACTAACAGAAAGATTCAAACATCATCCGAGCTGCAGAAAAACACCCCAAAGGTCACATCAGCAGGTCAGGTGGATGTATCTGCGCGTGTTTGACCTACACGTGTCCGTCTGCGATGCCGTCTGTGCTGTCTAGCGTCAGGCTCTGCTGCTCCCAGGGGTTTCTGATCTCGTTCGGAGGCTCCATTCGCTCACACATCTGCAGCAGAACGTCATCAGGAACAGGCTGAGATCTGCACTGGTTCCTCTGGAGACACACGTGCAGCGGACACTGGAGAAACACCTGACAGAAACCCACGCCGTCTGTCCTCCAGAACAAACACCATCAGAACATCAGCGCTTCAACTGTGTTTACATGATTCAGCTCTCAGAAACACAGAAACTGCACCTACACTTCCTGGCCAGCTGCTGGATCTGGTATCTCATGCTCTGGTAGTAGAAGTTATCGTCCAGCAGAACCACGAGCGGCTGCGAGTGTGTGTGAGAGACGCTCTGCTGCTGCCGCATCTGCTCAAACCGCATCCAGACTCCATCAGCCTCAGAGAGAGTGTGAGTCTGATCGGAGAGCATGCGAGTCTGAGTCTGATCGGAGAGCGTGTGAGTCTGAGTCTGATCGGAGAGAGTCTGATGAAGGAATCTCTCCAGACACATCAGAACCGTCTTCCTGTGCTGTTTCCATTCACACTGAAAAACAAAACACACAAGTGCTGTAGATTAAAGGCAGGCAGTGTGTAAGGGGCCGTTCACACAAACAGAACAGAACACGGGTATCTAGACGCAATATTAAAAAATGTTGCAAGAGATATCATATGAAAACAGTTCAACTTCTGTTTCGTTCCTTTGCTAGCTGTTTTTGAACACAAGAACACGATCTGTGTGAACTAACCCTAACAGAGCGATTCAGGAACAATTATTACTGATCATGTGGTCATAAACCCTCCTAATGCCTGTTTTTTGCCAATATTGATATGCTCAGATCAACAGACCAATCCCAGCGTTCACAAACACTGCAGCTCATGGCTACAGCAGTATCAGACCGTGCTTTAGCGCTGCTGCCAGCCAACAACTCAATGACTCGCATTCATATTCTGCTGAACTCGCTGCCTCTGATGGAACAAAAAGCCTGATTTTATAATCGGTATGCATTATGTGGGATGAGATTTTATCCCATTGAAATCAACTTATTAACAAAATGTAAAATCTGCTGTTTTTCAGGCATAGTGACCACTGGCTGTCAGGTTCAGTTACAATAAGTGTACACACACACACACTCTCACTCTCTCTCTCACACACACACACACACACTCTCTCTCTCTCTCTC